CGTTTTATGTTGAAAAGATCCTTCATTCGGTACTGGATGTCCACCCCGCAGGCTAAATTGGCACTGTCAAGGAAAAATAAGGGAGGCAGCCAAGAAAATGGAAAAGAGAGTTTGTGCCTGTATATATCCTTGTTTTACATCTGTTTGGATGGGAAAGAACTCAGACTGGGTGCCATTGTGCACAAACTGCCGTTGATACCATCGTGGACTTGCCTCATAGTGGCAATGAATATTGGTGGGCAACCAAAACGGCTGAGAGTCCACCAGAGGGCTTCTCTGTTAACGAAGTCGATTGTCTTTCTTTGGTCGATGAAGGCTACGTACTGGTCACGATGCTGTTCTCTGCACTTTTCCTGTATCTGGCGGGCAGCAAAGATCATATCACTGGTGCCACATAATGGTCTAGACTCTAGAGCCACATTGACATTCTGAGAGGACGTATTCCGCCTCAGGAAGAAGTCTACTAAGAAGGACTCAGGCGATAATGTTGCCAGCCAAAGACAATAGCAAGATACAACGGTAGTTGCCACAGCCTGACCGGTCTCCCTTCTTCTTATAATTATTGACGATGGCCACCATCGTCAATAAGAGCTTGGTGGATTTCCTCCTATTCCCATATATTCTTTAGGAGAGAGTGGAGATGGCTATTAAGACGAGGTTCTCCTGCCTTATACACCTGAGGCTTTGTTATTTTTCATCTGTTTGATGGCAGTATCTACTTCATCCAGGGATGGAGGATAGCTGAGATGAGTCAGCTCTGGATACTGTGGGACATGCTGGATATTCAGGCCATCTACATCGGTGCTTGAGTTGAACAATGAATGGCTGTGCTCTTTCCAGCGCTGAAGGATGCCTTCTTTGTCTGTAATTAGGGAATTACCATCAGATAAGAGGAGGGGGGCTGCGCCAAGAGTGACTGGCCCATAAAATATTCTAGTGGAATTTAAAAATTCGAACATCTTGTGTTGATCTGTAAGATTTGCAATTTGCATGCTTTATTTTTAAAACAGTCTTTCTTTAGTTTGCGAAGTTTGCACTTGGCCGCCTCTTTCTTCTTGTAGAATGTATTAGCTTTGATCCGAGACTGAGGGTTGTTCTGGCAGTCAGTTAAAGCAGAACGTTTATCGTCTATGAGTACATTGATTGCCGGGTCATTTTCATCAAACCAGTCCTGGTGTTTTCTTTCGATCTTGCCGACGGTCTCTCTACAGGTTTTTGTCATGACAGTGTCGAGAATATCTCATTCGGCACTACAATTTGCGTTGTTTGTTGTCGTGTTGTCGAGCAGCTCTCTGAACGTATATGCTACCACTGGATCCTCAGTAGGCTTAGTGTTAAAACCACTTCTGTAGGTTTGTTGCCTTCACCCTTTTGGGGCGATGTGAAGTGAAAGTTTGGCCCTGACGAGCCGATGATGATCAGTGTCACAGTGGCCTGAGCCATGCATTGCTCGGGTGATGAGGATGTCTCGGCAATCTCTTTCTCTGACAATGATATAGTCAATGAGATGCCACTGTTTGGATCGTGGATGTTGCCACGAACCCTTGAACTTGTCGGCCTGACTAAACAAGGTATTGGTGACAATGAGGTTGTGTGTAGTACGCTTACTGAGGAGGAGTAGGCCATTGGGCTTACACTTGACTTGTCTATTTCTCCCTAGGATTTCCCGCCAAATGTCAGCATACCTGCCATCTCTGAAACTGAAGTCACCTGGGAGCACAACCATATGTTCTCTGGGGATTGAAGTTAGCACTCTGTCAAGGTCGACGCAAATGGCCTCTTTAATGTCATTCTCTGCAATCAATGTTGGGGCGCATGTACTGATGAAAAGACATTACGTGAGTGATCCAATGGGACTCTGAGCTTCATGAGGCGCTCGTTGATCCCAACATGCATTTCAGTTAGCTTGTGTAGGATGCCTTGGCTGATGGCCAAGCCAACTCAATAAATGAGGTTTCTCTCTGCTTACCCTTCCAGAAGAAGGTACTCTCTTATACAGCTCCAGTCATCGGAGGCTGAATTTAAGCCCATTATAAGGCAAGCAAATTAATTGTTGATGATCCTATAGCAAAATATACACTTGTACTACTTACTCTTCATTTAAGACTTGTTAAGAATGTGGAAAATCTCATACAGATCTGACCAATAATTATCTAGTGATTAATACTAATTTGTGGGGTTTTCAGACCTATGCTATTTTATGAATATGTGTGATGAGGTGCTGCTGAGGTAAGGACGATCGGGCACCTTACCAACTGCATTGGTTAACCATTACCCCGAAACACAGTCCGCAAATCGATTAGTATCCACTTCCCCAATTACTGCCTCATAGACACACAGACACACACACACACAGTCTCCCTCCTTACTTACCAGCCCCCTTTCCCTCTGACTTAGTAGAGGAATTACATTAGTAAAACGTCTGGACAAACTGAAGTTAAAGCGCTCCACCACCCCCAGTAACTTACCAATGGAACTCCACAAGGAGTTATCCCCGTAACTAGCTAAACCCATCTGCTCCATCACCAATGCTTCGCTCAGCCAAGCAAAATGACCAGCTGACTGGAAGACCTCATATGTGTCACCAGTGCCCAAATCAACCAGCCCACAATCCTTAAATGTGCTATGACCCATTGCAATCACCCAATACCAAAGCATAATCTGTGAAAGTTTCGTGTTTGACTGGGTTTATGCTGATATTACAGGTGCCATAGATCCTCAGCTTTCTCGGCTACATATACCGTACACCTGGAAAAACGAAAAATGTCTGTGGCTGTTCATTGACTTCACCAAAGCATTTGACCTAGTCGACCACAATTTAATCATCAACAAAGCTATCGACCTCGGGTTTCGAAGAAGTCTTATACCAGGGCTTACAGACTTCCTTAGTGACCGACGCCAAGCCGTACGCCTCCGAAGGGCTGTCTCCACTTTTCAGTCAGTCACCGTTGACCCCAAAGGCACCAAGAAGGGACCAGTTTGCTTTCTTATGCTTATCAACGCTGCCCTAAGAGAAACCCCTGCTCACTGGAAATAAGTCGATGACTCCACCATTGGAATCAGTGTCAACAACTCAGCTGCCGACTATACCGCCCTCCAGGATTTATTGAGCAGTCTCCAAAATTGGTCCACCAACAACCACTTTACCATCAACCATACCAAGACCATGGTTATGCACATCAACCTCTCCTCCGGCGTTGTCCCACCCCCTTCCATTACTTTAGGCTCCAACATACTCCAGGTTGTAGACTCCACTAAGCTCCTCGGCGTCACTATAGATAACAAACTAAATTGGAAACCACACGTCAGTGAAATTGTCAAATCCTCCAGTTTTCGTCTCCACCTCCTCCTTCATCTCAAGTCTCTCGGAGTTCCTGCGCCCGAGCTCCTCAGTGTTTACTCAACATTCAAACTTCCCAAGCTCACCTATGCCTCCTCTGTCTGGTCTTTCTCCCCAAATACCACACAACGTAAACACCTAGAAAAAGTGCAAAAAGGGGCATGCAAGATTATTCTCTCCCCTTCCTACTGCACATATTAAGAAGCTCTTAACACACTGACCCTTTCGGCTCTCTCTGACCATCCCCACGACCTCATCTGCAAATTTGGTGAGAAGCTTCTGCACCATCCTGGACACCGGCTTCTACTACCACCCGAGATCCCTTGTCAGCGAATTGCTGTTTGACACCATAACCTCACCCAGCATAAATAGTGGCCCGTACTGATCGCTATAAGAACCGCCATTAGAAAAATTATCAAAGACTTGTAATCAACCAGAGTATTCACTCCCAGTCAACCTTACATTTTTGCACTGTCACTATGTCGAAATGCCCTGCAGTAAGACCTTCTCCCCACCTAGTTATTATACATCATATTATTTGTCAATGAAGTGACCCATTCCCCAGTTATGCAACTGTATATTTTCAATAAACCGTTTATTATTATTATTATTATTATTATTATTATTATTATTATTATTACACACACACACACACACACACACACAGTGCGTTTTTTGTACTTAAGTTTATATCTCAAAATAAGGGTATGGTTCCATGTAAACTATACTTTTATAGTGTTCAGTCGTCTGACGATGGGTGGGCTTGGTACTTCTCACCGGGAATGAGTGGAGTTGAATATGGAACTGAGGTAATCCATACATTACATATGGTAGGTGGAGCTAGGGTAGAGTTGATAAGCAAATCAACAAAATCACATAATTTGATGCCTATATGTCACAGGATCGAGTGGGAATCGTGTATAGTATATTTTCGATGCAAAGAAGTTCCCCCAAAAGATGGGATTTTTCTCGAAATTGGACATATCGAGTCTTGTACTGTACACTATTAAGTAATTAATATCTTTGACTGCCAATAAAAATTACACAGGATTTTTTTTACCTTTGCAGACCTTTTTCAGGAAACGAGGAAAGACATTAAATTCTACATCGGGGTGCTGGACCTATCAAAAGGCCCCAAAAGATCCACCGCATTAGATTATTGTTTGTGCCGAGGAAGTGAACCCAGCGTGGATTACGTTTTGATTATAGAATAAAAAATATACCACTGAGCTCAAAGTCTGGGAGTTTTCTCGTTCTTGATATTGAAGTGAATAAAACCCTATCGACTTTGGGGTAAAAGGGATTCAAGAAGAAGATCCTTGTGATCCTTTACCAGCTTTTCGCATCTCTACAGACTTGTGATGTGTCAGGCAGTACTACTGAAATGGGATGTCAAATTTATCAATATTATTAATATGATTATTAATTTCAAATAATTATCTCCCATAGATGCGTGTGTCCAGGAGGTTCGTGGGGTCCTCAGTGTAAAATACTCGCTCGAACCTTCTCAGGGTATGGCTGGGCATGGATACAACCCCTACCTTCATGTCTCTCCACTACTCTCTCCTTACGTATTCTGACTCGCAACACACATGCAATGATCCTCTACTCCGGACCCTTATCTTCCACCTCGAACCATCCACACTACCCACCCACACCTATGATAGCACTCCAGTTGGTGGGTGGGCAGCCACAGGTGATGCTGGAAGGTGCAAGAGGACCAATGAAGCTACAGGTGAATACCACACTGAGCACCGGAACTTGGCACACCCTACACCTGCATCTCAATCCGCAGGTAATTTGTTCACTTTAATGGCGTTATGTTATTCTTTTCCAGTTCGGACTTTTTACAAGACATTTACTGCATTTTTGTTTTTGGGGTACGGTAGCCGAGTGAATACAGCACTCATCTCCTGTACTTATGAAAGGTTACCTTAGCATTACATTTAAGGAAGTAATGGCGGTTGAGTATAATGCCGGCCCCACTACCTCCTTATGTACCAAAAAATGGCTTAACCTTCAATGTGTGTGTGTGTCCCTACAGAACTACTAAACACGATGTATTAATGCAAAAACAGGTGGTTTGAGACATTAGAAAACACGAATTTTTACTTACTCATCATTAACTCAAAACAACATCATCATTAACTTGAATACGCTGGATAGCTTCAAACATAGGTTGGACGGATATATGAGCGATAGAGGTTGGGTGTAAACGGGACTGCCAAGTATAGGCCTGCTGCAGTTTCCTCCATTTTTATGTTCTTATGTTTAATTTGAATACGATGGGCAGCAAAAATCAGTCAAGAAAGATGACATTTACCTAAGCTAACCTAACCTAACAATCTTAGGGTATTTTTATAGATAAGGTTAGGTTGGCTTGCTCATTTCATTTCTTTATTAATGGTTAAAAAACCTCTTAATACATATTCTATATATCGCCGTGACATTAGTGACACAGAAATTATCCTCATTGGAATGATTCAGTCTGCAATTTGCATTTTGAAAATTACAGAGAAGTAAGAAACGTTTCATAAAATGTATTCAACGGACCGAAAATGACACCAAAGTCAACCATTATGGAATAATTTTATTGTTCAGGTACACTTTTCAGCTTCTTATCTCTAAAGCCTATTATAATGCGACAGAGAGGTGGATGTAAAGATAGGAAACTTGGTAGCGTGGCCGGGATGTTATTTACTCAGCGTCAATACGCTTATCTTATCTAGTATGTCAATACACATATATCACTTCTTAAAGGGACAACTTGTTAAACACCTCTTCGATACAACAATTTATTAATTCATTCAATGACATGGACACATTAATATCACTATTATATCGGGGTACTAACACAATATGTTTTACGTTACTCGACACTGACTCTCGGACACTCCTGAATGAATACATTTCCCACAGTAGGTAACTCACCCTAGGACTCGTTCTGACAAGACTCACGTGTACCCTGACGTAGGCCCAGTGGATGCTTGGCTGGGCTGCCTCCTATGGGAGGCTTTTGCTTAGCTGGGGTCTGGTCGGGAAGTCCCCCTCCCGACCTGGGGAGAGGACAAGCGTGGCTCTGAGAATCTCCCGAGTAATGTTCGAACGTTCGAATGGCAACCAGAATCAGAATGATAATGCCAGAATGATAATCAGAACCAGAATGATAATGCCAGAATGATAATCAGAACCAGAATGATGGTGGACGGGACTGTAGGGCCATTATATGGGGTCGGCCCAACCGGCTTTTGACCTCTAACCAATTATCACTAAACTGGTTTGATCTGGATAGCTGTGTGCAGGAGTGGTCCTGCCCAGGTGTCTTGGTTAGGTGAGGTTGTAGGTCACCCGGCTAACTCACGTCATTAGCGGGCGAGGTCAAGTCCCTAGGGTCGACCTGAGGCGTGTCAACCCGGAATGTGGTGGTACCACGAGGTCTGTAGTGTACTTGCTGTTATATGTGACCTAATTCTGGGCTGTAAGCTTTGGTCTGACAATCAAACATTACACTATGCAGTAAATGTAATGGAGAAATCCTTGTGGAATCTATGTAAATCGCATGTATGGTTACTGAGACATGTTTAAGACAAAAATTACGTAAAAATATAACCTCTTTTAACATTGATATGATTTTGTTATATAAGTTCGAAATAATAAATGTATTGTATTTAATTATCATAACATGTTAGAGTACCCGGTTTTCCAATTAAAACAATATTAATACCAGAATATGGACACGACATTACAATGTGATATTATCGAGGGCTTGTTACTGAAGGGGTTAATGCCATAGTCTCACAAAAAACATTTGTATCAGTCAGTGGGAACTACTGTTTGTATGACTGCTTAATACATTAGTTAAATCAAATATAGGCAATGTCTAATAAGTCCTTGCTTAAGAAGTAAAAACAGTGCCTTTGCTGCTGCAAATAATGATATCTTCAACTAAGAAATCTTATACTTTCCAAATAATTACATGAAATAAGATATATTTTAATGAAGATATATCTTTTTTTTTAAATCTTCCTGTTCTAAGTTAACTGTTCAGACACATCGGCAGAAAAAGAGGAAATATCTGATCATATGTTAATATTTAACTATAATGTTTATTTTTATTTTTCCATAAATCGTTCCCTCATAGTTTTATTTTTTATTCATTTATGAACATACCTAACAGGGTGTAACATTAATGGTGGACCTTTGCGGAGCTGGCTGGGATGACGACAGAACCAATGACTCCCATTGCATTGCAAGAGCCACTTGGATAGACCCTGATGTGAAAGAGAGTTGGGGAGGTAGAGTGCCCCTCCAGCTTGGTGGCCTCGCCCACCCATACCCTCTGTCTAAAGAGTTTGGATGGTCATCCACTCTTGTGCACCGCTCCTTAGAAGGTTGTGTATCCCACCTCACAATTAATGGACAGGTAATGCTGTAATAAAAGTGTGTTTGTGTATCTTGAATGGCTTATGTATTATTAAACGTTATTTAAGGGTCAATCTCAAGGACAGTCTGTTTATTCATCAGAATCATACATTTCCCTTAAAGTTTTCTATGACTGGAGACAAAATTTACATTTGTGAGCTTTATTCTAATTTGCATGGATTTTTTTCAGAACACATGTGAAATCATATTAAAGCGATACATAACTTGTTATCTTCATACTTAACTGTTATTACGTTTCTCAGCTAGTTGACTTGGGTGAGCCAGCATACAGCAATGGGAGTGTAAAAGGCTGTAGACCCCAAGAGATGGCCTGTCAAAATAGATTGGCTTCCTGTAGTCTACGTGGACATTGCGTTAATGGTGTTCGTGACCCGAAATGTGACTGTAAGGCAGGATGGACAGGGCCAAGGTGTACCACACCGACTGTACCAGTTACATTTGGCCAAGCCTCATACGTAAAGATAGCACTACACTTCACACCAGATCCATTTGATGTATCACTGCAATTTCGAATAAGAACACGAGGTCGTACTGATGGTCTTCTGTTGCAGCTGACTGCCATTCAACAATCAAATGCCTTAAGAATACGTGTAAGTCATTTTGTTATTCTGTTGATTCTGTTACTCTAGTCTATGAGTGTTACATGTTCGTGTATAAACTTATTTACCTCGTTCACATACACTAAACTAAATTTATGGTATTACCAAATTTAATTTTTTCCTTGTGCTTTTGACAGTTGAGAGGTGGTATAGCATGTGCTTCAGTGTCTGGTGGAGTAGAGTGGGTACTACAGGAGGTGTGTTTAGAAAGCTTCCCATTGGGTGATGGTTCTTGGCACACTATACGAGTAGGACGCCATGGACATAACCTAGTTATATCAGTGGACGATGGCAATGGATGGAGACAAAATGAGACGCTAACGTCTCTCCTCACGACCACTGTCCATGGAGAGATGAAGGCTGTAGTTGACAACCCCCCCAGACCTCTCACAGTTGATACGAAGTATGGAACAATTGTGGGAGGCATCCCAGAATTTGTGAACCGTAGCTTGTTGACAGTCCATGATGACCTGCATACCAGTAAGTGGTGATCTCTAGTGAAGTTAAATAATCTCACTGTCAATGTTGGGATACAAGTAATTTAATGGCTTTTCATAATAAAAGAGTATTGACATGTTGTGTTCGGTCAGAAAAATATTACCTACTTCAGGAAAACACAAAACAATAGAAAACAACTTGTAAGGATCGTTACTAGTTTCAGCTAGAGTTACGTCAGAATATATAGATTGTACTTGAGAAAAATAAGTTTAATAGGAGTGAATTTTAATGTTTTTCATGTCAATGTATAGAGTTTATGTAATCTTAAGATACAGAAAGCAAAATATAATTTGACCATGAAAGAGCTGGAAGTATCAGGGTTTCTGAATTCTGAATTCTGATTGCAGTGATAATAAAAAAAATATCGATGCTATTTATTTATGGTTAGAACTATGATTATTTACACACACACACACACACACACACACACACACACACACACACACACACACACACACTACTACTTCTTTGCTGTCACTTGGAATCGAGCATAACGTTCATCCAGCTATGATACAATGAAATGAGTTATTGAAGATGTCACATTCGTTGGTGAAGTGACTCGAGAAACCGATACGGGATCGGCAGGCCGTCCACAGACGTTGCATGTGTGGAGGGCTATATCTAGTGCGTGAGAGGCGGTGCCAGCGTCTTTCCGGCGCTGGCGCTTGTCTGCTTCGGTATGCAGTCGGACAAACTCTAAAATATTGACACCTTCTCGTGTAGTGCTCCTCCAAGCGTTACGGTGAGGAGTAATCATCTCCCAGGTGAGGGGGTCGATTTGGCACTTTTTCAGGTTTGTCTTGAGACTATCCCTATACCTTTTCCGTTGCCCGCCGGCGTTTTTTTTGCCATTGGTTCGGTAACTGATGTGACTGTAAAATAGGTGCTTTGGCAGTCTACTGTCGTCCATGCTGGTAACATGGCCATTCCACCGTAGTTGTCCATGCATAATGGTAGCCTCGATGGTTTTACAGTTGGTGTCAGCGAGAATACTGGCATTTGTTCTCTTGTCTTCTCAGCGAACTTGGAGGATGGGACGTAGACTACGTTGGTGAAAGTTTTCATGTGCCTTGAGGTGCCTCCTGTTTGTGATCCTTTCCAACTTTGTAGATAATTTCTGCTCCCTACAGCTGAAAACAGGTACGGAGTCTACCAAAGGTTTGAAATACACATCTGATTCAATGATGTATCTCTTTATCGATGTTCGCGGCGGTGGACAGGTGGGAGCCAAGATTCTCAAAGTGGATAACATTAGACAGGGTAATACCGTTAACATGGATAGATGGTAGAAGTGCGGCTGAACCAGGGTCAGGCGGATAGAGAACCTGAGCCTTTCGTACAGTTGGCTCCACTCCTGACTTTACGAATTAGCATTGCCAATCCTCTCTCTTCCTTGGGTCTGAATCCCAAACACTGAACTCTGAATTCGAGGTATTCGCCCACTGAGCGGGAGTGATAGGGGAGGGGTGTATTTGGGTATTTGTCTTTCTGTGGGGGGTAGACGAGGTACTGGGCGCGAGGAGGAAAAGTGTACAGTATCTCAGTTGGGAAGATGCAGAATAACGATTTGACAATACCGACTGGGTTTCTAAGTTGAGTGTAATCGTCTTGTGCTAGTCAGATGATAATACTAAAGTTACTATAGGATGAGAGAGGGCTAAATTCATGTTCTAAGTAAGGTGTTCCTTTGTAATGGGGGCATTTATGACCAAATGGAGTATGGATATGTTACAATCTATATCTTGTAGAACAGTGAGGTTTTGGTTCACCGCTTGACTCCGAGATGGAACTTCCCTGGCTGAACAAATCGTCTGGCTGTAGCCAGAATATTTGTATTCTCATCATAATTGCCTCCTGGAAATGAGAGGACATACAATTATTCTCCTGTAAATTGTCTGAAATGACTTGACCACAAGAAACCCAGAATACTGTAGAGGTTGGGTTGTGGGGCAGGAGGGGGTGACTGTGCTGAGTCGTGGGTTCTACCAGCACCTCTGCTCACGAGTGCTGCCACGTCTAGTGTACTACTGACTATATTATATAACACCTTAAAACACCACATTTAATAATAATAATAATAATAATAATAATAATAATAATAATAATAATAATAATAATAATAATAATAATAATAATAATAATTATAATCTTTTTTTACCCTTTAACCACACTTTTTGGAACAACTGAACTATGTGGTTTGCTGATTATATACAGGACAGCTACCAACTGAACTATTTTTGTTCACATCAAGTTTTTGTTTCAATAAATATGTGCTGCCCACGTCCTGATTCTTTTGATTTATAATGAATCCTTTCACTTCGATGTGTTTTTATCCCTTTTATTCTGGCTACCGCCAGGAATTTTCATCTCGTAGTCAAGAGGTTGAGCAAAACTTCACTGCTTCTACAAGATATAGGTTCAAACATATCCATATCCCATTTCGTCATAAATGCCCCTTTTTGCAAAGGAACACCTTACTTAGAGCATGAATTCATCGCCCTCTCTTTCTATCGTAACTTCAGTATTTTCATCTAGACGATTACTTTTAGCAGAGGAAACACCGTCAGTTTTGTCAAAAGGTTATCCTGCATTGTACTATCTTCCACCTGATATACATTATCCGTACTAAACTCTGTGCTCGTACCCAGTCTCCTCCAGAAAGAAAGGAAACTATCCCAACACACCCCTCCGCCCTCCCTCCCACTCACTAGTGAATGCTTCGAATTCTTACTTCTGAGTTCGGGGTTCAGATCCCCGGGAATAGAGAGGATTGCCAATGCTAAGTGGTAAAATCAGGAGTGGAACCAACTGTACATTCACTTCAAGGCTGAAGTTTGCATAGGCATCTGCATAGGTGTTCAGGATCTCCTGTAGGTCGCTTTCAGTGTGAGCGACGAAGGTGAGGCCGTCTGCATACTGAAGTTCAGTGATGGAAACGGCCGACACCTTTGTTCCTGCCTGGATTTGTCTTACGTTGAAAAGTCCCTTCATCCGGTACCGAATGTTCACTCCACCGGCTAAATTGGCACTGGCACGAGTAAGGAAGGCAGCCAAGAAAATGGAAAAGAGAGTTGGTGCCAGTCCACATCCTCGTTTTATATAGCTCCATTTGGATAGGGAAGAACTGCTGTTAATACCATCGTGGATTTGCCTCACCTCTGGTATAATGGTCAGCATGCTCGCCTCGCAAACGAACGGACCCGGGTTCGATCCCCGGGCAGGGTGAAACTATGGGCAAGTTTCTTTATGCCATTTGCTTATGTCTACTCAGCAGTAAATGGAAACCTGGATGTTAATCGATTTGCAGATCGTGTTCCGGGGTAATAGTTAGCCAGTGTAGTTGGCGAGTTGTCCGGTCTTCTTGGACTATTCCTTGACACTGGGTAATGCAGGTCGTTAACTTAGGGTGTGGTTGTTTTGTTGGTGACAGCTTCTACACCTCAAACAAATTCACGCCGGTCATCCTCTTTACACGAGGGGCAACCATTAGTTTTGGTTGGGATTTGCCTCGCAATAGATATGAATTTTGGTGGGCAACCAAAACGATTGGGGGTCCGCCAGAGGGCTTCCCTGTTGACCGAGTCGAAGGCCTTAATAAGGATGATGGAGGCCATGTACAAGTCACGACGCTGTTCTCTGCACTTTTCCTGTATCTAGTGGGCGGCAAAGTTCAGGTCAGTGGTGCCACGTTATGGTCTACATCCACATTGAGATTATGGGAGGGAGTCTTCTGCTTCCAGAAGAAGTGTGTTTAGTAGGACTCTGGCGATAATTTTTTCAGCTACGGACAGCAGCGAGATTCCAGGGCAATTGCCACAGACTGATCGATCTCCCTTGTTATTATAAATATTAACGATGGAGATGTCATAAAATCTTGGGAATTGTCTCCATCTTTCATATATTATATTCTCCAAGATATAATGGAGCCGGTTACTAAACCGAGATCCTCCTGCTTTATACACCTCGTCTGGGATTCCATCAGACTCTGTGGCTTCGTCATTTTTCATATCTTTGATGGCAGTAGCTACCTCATCCTGGGATGGAGGATAGCTGATGTGGGCTAGCTCTGGGTGCTAAGGGACCTACTGGGTAGTCAGGACATCCACATCTTTGTTTCGGTTTAGCAGCGAATGGTAATGATCTTTCCAGCACTGATGGATGCCTTCTTCTCCTTTGAATAGAGGTTTACCATCAGATGAGCAAAGGGGGCCGCGACATGGGTAACTGGGCCATACACTGTTTTAGTGGAATTTAAAAATTCGTGCATATTCTGTTGATATACAATTTTTTTCATTTAAAATACTTTTCTTCCACTGGCCTACCCCTTTCTTCTCGTGGAAGGTATCAGCTTTGGTACGAGACTGAAGGCTGGTCTGCCAGTCAGTTAAGGCAGCACATTTACCATTGTTGAGTACGCTAATTTCCGGGTCATTTTCATCAAAGCAATCTTGGTGTATTCTTTCGATCTGGCCTAAAGTCTCTGCATGTTTTTGTGATGACAACATCGAGGATAACCCATTCGCCACTCGGATTTGGGTTGTCTGTTGTTGGGTTGTTTATCAGCCCTTCCTCAAGCTACTCCTCTAGGTGCTTGGTGTTAAAACTACTTCTGATGGCTTGTTGCTTTCGCCGTTTTAAGGCGACGTGAAGGAAGAGTTTGGCTTTGACGAGTCGATGATCTGTCTCTCATCTGTCTGAATCATGTGTGGTTCGGGGTGATGAGGACATATCGGCGATCTCTTTATATAACAATGATGTAATTAATGAGAGTGCCAATGTTTAGATCGTGGGTGTTGCCCATGAATTTGCCGGTCTGCCTAAAAAATTGTTGCTTGTTGGTGATATTTGTTAGCATCATCTCTGCCAACTCTGGCTTTGAAGTCACCTCAGAACACAAGCTTATCTTTTCTGGGGATAGAGGTTAACAGTCTGTGAAGGTTGGCATTTTTTTACCTTCTTTGCATCCAATGATGAGGTGTATGCACTGATGAAGAAGTCATTACGTGAGTAATTCAGTGGGACTCGGAGCATCATGAGGCGTTCGTTGACCCCAACAAACATTTCAGTTCGCCTATGTAGGATGTATGGCGAAGAGTAAAGCCAATTTAATAAATGTGGTTTCTCTCCGCAGCAGATTTACCGTTCCAGAAAGAAGGTATAGCGGGACCGTGACGTAAGTCGACCCTTTTCTAGGAGCCGGGACTCACTAATGGCTGCTATATTGATGTTATACCTTGACATTTTTTTTTGGCCACAAGAGCGGTTCTTCTTAAGGGAAGCTCCTTTGTGCCAGTATCCAGAAGAGTCCCGACATTCCATGCAGTAACTATAAGAGGTTGTATAGTCTGTTTTCCTTTGATCTGTGATTATGATTGTGTTTCCAACCGTTCCAGGATGACCTTACTGGGTAGGGTTCCCGAGTCAGTTTTTGTTTTTAGGCAGGCTATGTTTAGGGCCCTGTTTCTAGCCCCATCCCCTCGTGACCCGTCAAGAAGGCTGCGAAGTCTCACAGACACGACCGGATTGCACTGCTACATAAATACCAGTACACAAACGACTATCTTATCTATGCTGCCCAAGTGCCGAGTTGTCACTACTTGTAGAAACTTCTAATACTAATAGTTATATCTGCCTGTTTCTATCACCAAGCGTCTATGACCATAAAATTTTTGAGGGTTTAGGGGTTTTGATGAAGAAAAGTATAAGGAGCTGGATGATGGCTGCACATGAGTAGATTTATGTTGTGAACCATACATCTTGGCACTCCCTATTCCTGATCCAGGGGTGCAGGTAGCTGCAACATCTGGAGAGATGGAGAGTTGCAATGGATTGCTGATGGCCCAGTTTGTTGGGTTTCACCTTAGTAACCTGTCCATCTTACATCCGCCAGTGCACTGTAGTCGATGGGTTCTTGTGTTAGTGACCTCATCTGCCTACTCTACTGCTGGGTTCATTACTGGTACTCTGTAAGCATGTCTGACTGATGCCAGAAACCAACACAGATATTTTGTTAGATTTTTACTCCCATAGCCTTATACCTACGAAGATAAATCAGCAAGGTAGTTGGTTAGTGATTGGTAGGCACCAGGGCATGTCCACATGACGGTGGACCTACACACCGTCCCTCTTGGCACACTCATGCACCTAGTAGATCCCCTGCTGGGCTAGTCTTGGACATTGAGGCTCCCAGTTACCGTGTGTTGCTACAAAGAGGCACAGCAGGAGTGTTGATTGTGAAGAGGCTATGTACCTGTAGCGGA